CATACAATTCCAGCTTCATTAAGAAACTAGACAGAGTACTTCAAATGTGACCAAAAGGCAGAGTCAGAAACTATAATACCAGAAATTGTATCTAAACTATTTGATAAGGTATTTTTTAAAATGACATTTAGGTGCCTTCAACAATTGAAAGAATTATCTGGAAAACTGCAGATGAAATCAAGGAAAACACAGACAAAACTTTGGAAGAATTCATAAAAACACTACAAGAAGAAATTGACAAAATAAATGAAAATTTGGAAACCATACAAAAACAGCAATTAGAAAATCAGAAGATTAGCCCTAAGACTTCAGAAATATATGATACATTAGAATGACAGAGAAGTAGAATTGAATCAATGGCAGGCCAGATTAATGAGCTTGAAGACAAATCTCTAAATATTCATCTGTTAGAATAATAACCAGAAAAAAAAAAAACTAACCAAAAAAAATCTGAAAAAATATATGATTTATATGGCACACAACAATTTATCGAAATTCTAGAATAGGCTAAGACAAACAAAAACATAAGGTTATTGAAGAGTCACTGGAAGAAAATGTCTCTAACATCATGAAAGACAAGAAGACCATCAATCAAGAATCTGAGCGAACTCTAAACAGAATAGACCCCCAAAAGAAAATCAGCAACACTTATTATAGTCCAACTTTATTGTAAAACCAAAGACAAGGAAAGACACTTGAGAGCAGCTCAGGAAAAGCACAAAGCAACCTACTAAACAGAACTTGTAAAACTTAGCTCTGATTTCTCAGCAGAATTTATTGAAGGTAAGAAAACAGAGGGATGACATATATAAAACTTTCAAAGAAAAAAATTGCAACCCAAGAAACAAATATGCAGCAATATTGTCCATCAAATATGATAGCAATATGTTATTTCAAGACAAACAAAAATTAAAGGAATTTGTAAAAACTAGACCAAGCTAACACAAAATACTAAAGGGATTTCTTTAAATAGACAACCAACAATAGCAGACAGCAATGTGAGATTAACTTATATGACAACATCTCCCAGCATTCAACCAAGTTGTAGAAATATTCAAAGTCAAACAAACCTACAAGACTAAAAATAGGGAACCAGAGATGCCAGTCTGCAACAATAACAAACATATAAAGTAAGAAAAGATATAGAACTTCTAATTGAAGAGGAAATCAAGTAGATTTCAAGTAAAAATAAATAAAGCAATAAAAATAAGCAATAACCTCATATGCATGCTAAAGCTGGACAGTGAATAAGGAAGACTGCATTTGCGTTGTGGTGTTGAAGGAGAATATTGAAAGTGCCATGGGCTGCCAAAAGAACCAACAGATCTGTATTGGAAGAAGTGCAGCCAGAGTGTTCCTTGGAGGCCAGGATGGCCAAACTTTGTCTCTCATACTTCAGACATATTGTCAGGGGGAACCAGTCACTGGAGAAGGATATCATGTTTGGTAAAGTGGAGGGTCAGAGAAAAAGAGGAAGACCCCCAGCGAGATGGATTGGCAAAATGGCAGCATCAAAGGGCTCAAGCATGACAACAATAATGAGGTTGACCCAGGATAGGGCAGTATTTCATTCTGTTGTGCATAAGGTCGCTATGCATTGGTATCGACTCAATTGCACCTAACAACAACAACATAACCTTAAAACTAGTCAAAGTCCTACTCTTAGCCCCTGGTCCAACCTTAGTTCTAATCATAATCCTATACTATAGTACACAAAGTCCTAGGTCTAGCCTAGACCTAGCCACAGTCCTAACCCTAAATCCTTACTTCACCCAATCCGCCCCCCGACCCCTGACCAAGAATAATTAGTTCATCCACTGCAGGAGGTGACACATGATCAACATACGAAAGAAGAAGTCCAAGCTGCACTGAAGGCATTAGCAAAAAACAAGACTCCTGGAACTGATGGAAAACCAACTGAAATGTTTTAATAAAACTGAGAGATCACTGGAAGGTGTCACTAGTTTATGCTGACCAACTGGAAGAGCTGTGCCCATTCCAAAGAAAGGTGTGCCCATTCCAAAGAAAGGTAACCCTACAAAATACAGAAAGTATCGAACAGTATCACCTGCAAGTAAAATTTTGCTGAAAATAACTTTTTTAAATGATTGCAGCAGTTAGAAACTATTAGCCGTTCCACAGGAGAAAGATGAGGCTTTCTGCTTCTGTAAAGATTTACAATGTCGGAAACTGTACAGGGAGCTGCCAGAAATTCAAACTGGATACAGAAGAGGATGTGGAGCAAGAGCTATTATTGCTGACATCAGATGAATCTTGGTAAAAGCAGAGAATACCAGGAAGATGAGTATTATGGGATGTGCAATGGGACTCATCAGCAATGATCCAGCAGCAAAGATTGGCATCAGGGTAGGTCTATCCTGGGCCAGGTCTCACGGCAAAGTCCTTAAGGACATGTGGAACCTAACTTGGGAAATGATTCCTGCTTGTTTTTAACAGTGATGAGCTTTCGTCATCAAAGCCTGGGTCATGAATTTGAAAATTAACGTGGAAATTGGTATCTTTATCATCATATAACTTATTAGAACTTCAGAATAAAATGCTTTCAGAATTTATTCTGCACATGTTTGTGCAATGGCAAAAAAGAAGGGCAGATGCAACCCAGAGTGGTGAAGGATAGTTGTTTTTGTTGTTGTGGGCCATAGAGACAGTTCTGTCTCATAGCCATGCTGTATAGGGATTCTAAGGAGTGGCTGGTGGGTTCGAACTGCTAACCTTCCTAAAGACCAAACCAGGACACAGTTTCCCCAGTATTCAGTGGTGAGATTATCCTAGAATGTTTCAAATATAGAAAATACTTTTCTTTGAACCAGTTGATGTGCTCCTCTTTCCCTATACCACATCACTTATCTTTAATGACATGGTTGTAACTATGGAAGAGCTGTGTTAATAAACACCAAAACCAATTTAAGACATAAGGTGGACTCTTCCCCCTCCTGGGTAGACAGAGATTAAATCCTGTCGTCAGCACTCTTACAGCCCTACAAATGCATTAACAAAGGGGAATCTACTGAGACTCACCTGTGCCCCTAAAGACCAGCAAATTGCAGGCGATAAAAAATATAACTATTCCACCCTTCATATGGGATATTTTCTTCTTTGAAAACCTAATAAAAAACTGCTGAGTTTTTACAAGAAAAACTAACATACATGTAAAGGCAAAGACAACTTTGACACAAAATTGTACTCATTTCACTGAAGCCATGGACACCATGTTTACTGCAAGTTCCATGTAAAAATCTGGTGGTGGTGGTGTTGTGCCGTGAAGTCAGTTCTGACCACAGCTACCCTGTACAGTTTCCAAAGTTGTAAATCTTTACGGGAGCAGACCGCCTCAACTTTCTCCCATAGAAATGGCTGGTAGTTTCTAACTGCTGACCTTGAGGTTAGCAGCCCGACTCGTAACCACTACACTACCAGAGCTCCTTATGTAAACATTATGATAGCTTAGTTGCCTTTGGTGAATTTTGACTCAGATTAAAAGGAAAAATATTAGTATCCTTTGTTCCTCCTCTCCTTCCTTTTCCTTTCTCCCAGTATCCCCTACCCTGCCCCCAACACCCTTTCTCTCTTTCTACTGGAAAAAGAACTACAAGAAAAATCTAAGTAGCACATCAGGTGGAATCATTTTAGATGATTAGCAAATCATATTACATCTCACAGATCATCTGTTAATGCTTACTGATGACATACTTTGCCCCTTATTGATAATTCTGATAGCAAGCCTATATTGCTATTGCCAATTAACTCATGAGACCACAGTGGCTCAGAAAGCATAGCTAGAGAAACAGAACTGAAGCCCATGTCTGCTAACTTTCTGGTCGATGCTCTTCCCACAAATGTGGGCAGTGTAAGAAAATATTCCATCAGGTCTTAGGGGGACACTTGCGAGGATTGCTTTATAATTACTTATCATTAAGAGTCAGAAGCCATAGGGTAGAGCGGGTAGCACTTAAGTCTACCTAATGGGCAGGTATGCCAATTAGCAAGCTGGAAATAATTTAATACATTCTCAATATGTCTGTTTTACAGGGGCTTCATAAAGTCTAATATGAAAGCAGGGTTCTAATAGTTCTCCATTCAGGTTACATTTAAATAGTTTTATACGACTCTATAGTTTATGGAGATTTGTATACCTATATAAATTAAAAGCTAGAATGTTATATTATGGGTACTAGAGTATCATACACATTTTTACTAAAAGATAATATAGAGCAACAATTCTGAGTCTCACAGCATCTTAGCAAAAGAGTTTCTTCTTGCTGTTTTTCGTCCTTTACAAAACAGACTGCTCCGAGCCTTCACATCTTCTTCTGTGACTAAATTATGTAATGCTTATAAATATCCAGAAAATCAGTGAAAGTATTGGGATTTTGCCTAGTCTGAATCACTTGCTGAAAGAAGTAAACATTGCTAATTGGAAATAGAAGAATTGTATTTGCCCTGCTATTAAGTTTCTTTAACCACACACACACACACACACACACACACACACAACTTTGGCAAACATTTCTTTATGCTCTCAACACTTATTTGAGATAATGCAAACTGGAATTCTTAAAAAAAAAATAGACCTGGAGGTATAAACTTGTTACTAATTTGAAGAAGAGATCTAATTTTACTGGCATGATCACATCAATTGTTCTTTATGTAAGACAAAAGCAAAGCAGGCAGAACCCAACCCACTCTAAGTCACACTGAAGCATATTTAATGATTGCTAATATTTTATCCTCATAATTATCATTTTTCAAATTAAGTAATTGTGGTCCCCGTTGCACTACAGAGACCGTGGCTTAAAAGCTGAAGCGGTTCCAAATCCATTTAGAAGCTTTCTGTGCTTCTCTTAATGAAAGCATGGAAAATTACCAGCCATACCTTCAAGGTTGTGTCTGTCGGAGGAAAACCAATGGAAGCAAACATCACAGAACATCACAGAACAACAATGAGAGATTCACTGACAGACTACAGTCTTGCACCATACCTGTACAGATGAAACTGGATAGTCCTCCGTAGATGACTTCATCATTGTCGGGCAGTATAAATGGACACCTTGTCTGAACCTCCAAACAGTATTGCTTGCAAGGAATTGTCTTTCTGCAGTTAAACTGTGTGACTTCAAAATACTGGGAGCACAGCCAGGCTTTGTAGACAATCTAAAAGACGAGAAGAACCAAAAACATGGAGGCATGACAAGAGTTCTGTGTGTAGTAGAAGAGCGTGCTTACTTGTTAGGAGCATGCTTGGTTTCACATGGAGTATGAGAAAACTCTCATTTGGGAAAAACGTATTTACATAGTAGCAGCTGCAATTGCTAAAGTCCTTGCAAAATGGGCAAAACATTATTTAATGGAAGCCTTAATAGAATACAAAAGATATTGTGGATTTTGAATTGAGGTATCTTATTTGAAAACAGTCAACTTAGGTACAACCTGCATCCCCTCCCCCCCACACACAAACCCCCAAATGCAGAAATGCTGAAAGTGAAAGCAGTCACAGAGGTTCTGAATGACTAGTTATTTACTGCAGGTCAGGGACTAATCTTTCCTCTTTCCCGGCCTCGGTCCCACCACCTTTGCTTCCATTCAACACTAGATGGTGCTGATGGCCTTTATAATGAGGACCTAGCCAGCATCTAGCTCACTAGCTCACTCTTGAATTTCAAGAGGCAAAGATGGACAATTATTTTAATAACTCACATAAAATGCTTTAAAAATCTCATTGTCTGAAGGCCCAGAAAGACCCAACATAGATCCGATGTAATATTCTATGATGTGGTTAGAAGCAGGAGGAGGGAGAGGCTGTATGTCCCACATCAGTTTTGTTTAAAGTATTTGCAGGGAGGTGATGACTAACTACAGATTTAAGTTACAGCAAACTGCATTTAATAACTGTGTCTTAGAACTATGTACCACATGCAATTCTGAAGCGTGTAGATTGGTAAATATGTGCCACATACAATGTTGCAATGTGTAGCTTGGTAATAGACACCACATACAATGATGCAGTGTGTAGCTTGGTAATATTGTTGTTGTTGTTAAGTGCCGTCGAGTCAGTTCTGACCCATAGCGACCCTGTACAGGGTTTCCGAGGCTGTAAATCTTTACGGGAGCAGAACGTCTCATCTTTCTCCCGCGGAGCGGCTGGTAGTTTCGAACCGCTGGCGTTAAGGTTCGCAGCCCGATTCGTAACCATTACGCTACCAGAGCTCCTTTGTTGTTATGTGCCGTCGAGTC